GAAGGACCTCAGTTCTTCCTTCCTGGAATTCAGCTGGTCCGCTTCAGCGTCTCCCTCGGACGCTCCCTTTACAGAACGATACTGTGTTCAGTCTTTTGCCCTGAGATCACATGTTAGATTCTCACCCCTCTTTTCCATACTACTTCCTTCAGGCAGTTGTCAGGATTGTTAGACGTCTGGGTGATGCTCTATATGTTGATCTTTTAACATTTTTGCAAAAGAATCTTGAGCGTCCGGAGATTGGTTGATAGGTTCCTGTGTGGGGCATGAAAATATCACTAGTTAGATCCGTAGACATGAACTTCAGTGAAATATAGTTGGAGTCTTCCAGCCAGAGCAGTGATAATAAGGAACAATACTGCAGTTAACATTTTACAAAAGTGACTCGTATTTTTTTTTTCTCCCCTCCCTTAGGAATGGGTGAATTTAAAGTCCATCGAGTTCGTTTCTTTAATTACGTTCCATCAGGGATCCGCTGTGTGGCTTACAATAACCAGTCAAACAGATTGGCTGTTTCAAGAACAGATGGCACTGTGGAAATATATAACTTGTCAGCAAACTACTTTCAGGAGAAAGTAAGTCATTTGGAAGCCTGATTTGGTGTTTCTGATAATTTTCTTCTTAAGTTCAGTTCTACAAAAACTTGTATGTCTTTTGTAGCCAGAGATCAAAAGAAAGTGACTCTGAACGCTCTCTGGAGTTGTTTTGAACCATGTGCCTTCTGTAGCATGCGATTTCTTGTCTGACTGATGAGAGAAGCTCCGCGTTTTGATGTGTTATGTTGGTGAGAAAGAGCCTGCCTAGGAATTGTGGCAGCTCACTGTCATTTGGAAACTGAGGTTTGCTCGTTCTTTTGGGCACAAGAAGGAAAATTGTCGAGACCATTGCTTTATATCAGTCTCCACACTGTTGCAGCTTTGGTAAGGTGGCATTTCCTGCTGGGGGTGTCATATACCAATTTCAGGGAAAATCATGAGACATTTTAATATCAGAAACTTTGGTGAGGTGATAGCAGGAAGTAGATTCCTAAGTTGGCCCGTCAGAGAATGTAGACTTACATCCCTATATTTGGGAGTAAAGGAGAGTGTAAACTAGGTAAAATTCCAGTTGGATGTAGAGGGATGTGACGGCAGCATTTTTTTCCAAAGGCACTGATTATTGATTTCCGGTGCAACATATAATTCCATTCACATTTATTGAGTGTCTTACATACCCTGGGCATCATGATGTAAGTGGACAGATAGGTAAATGAATGAATTTAGTGCCCAGCAGCCTAGTACTTGGAATGTAGGCACTCTGTAAAAGTTTCTAAATGAATGAGTGGCAAATATTAGGCATTAAAACAAATGTCAGATGCCCTCAGGGAGTTCAAAGTCCAGTTAAATTTTATATAAAACTAAGTACAAGCATAGAATCTTAGTAGAGAGATAACTTACTCTGATGAGGTGGGTTCAGGAATCTTGGAGAAGAATGACATTGAGCTGATCCCTGAAGAACTAATAGGAGTTAAAAAATTACTGGTGACCACAGCTGGGTCTTCGTGTGAGCAAACATGCTGTGGTACATGCTTGTTGCATCCTGTGTTTTTCTTGTCATTTATGACAGCTGTGATTATATAATAATTTGTATATTTGTTTAATGTTTTCGCCACTGAACTTCAAATTTTATGAAAGCAGGGACCATGTCAGTGATGTTGATGACTACATTTCCAGCATTTAGCAAGTATCTAGGACAAAGCCACTGCTGAATTAATTCTTATTGAATGAATTACGTCAACCATTTGTTAGTGTCTCTTATTCTCTCATCTGTTTTTTCAACAATTAAGTAATGCAATCTAGTCTTCTGCTTTCTTTCCCTTCTATTTAAGGTTGCTTAGCTCTGTTAGTTATGCTCAGAACAAGAAAAAATTGTTTCTCTCAGAGTGAAAAGAATAGGGATTAGGGATAGGGAGACCAACATTCTCTTCATGTCATTGACTGACACTTTGGGCAAGCCACTTCACCCACAAGTACTTTGGCCCTTTCAAATTCAGATAGGAAAAATTATACTTACCCATCTCTTTTGTGTCAAGCAAATAAAAGAATAAAATGTCTTGATAGAGATGAAGCTTTTTGAATGCTAAGACAGCACTAAGAAATCTGAGACTTGAATGAACGGCTGGAGTGAACTGCATTAGTTTATCTTTTATTTTATTTTTTTTTAAATATATTTCATTGATTTTTCACAGAGAGGAAGGGAGAGAGATAGAGAGTTCGAAACATCGATGAGAGAGATACATCGATCAGCTGCCTCCTGCACATCTCCCACTGGGGATGTGCCCGCAACCCAGGTACATGCCCTCGACCGGAATCGAACCCGGGACCTTTCAGTCCGCAGGCTGACGCTCATCCACTGAGCCAAACCGGTTTCTGCTATCTTTTATTTTTTAAACAGCTTTGTACAGGTAAAATGGACACAATAAGTAGCATGTATTTAAAGTATATAAATTGCCGAAACCGGTTTGGCTCAGTGGATAGAGCGTCGGCCTGTGGACTGAAAGGTCCCAGGGTCGATTCCGGTCGAGGGCATGTACCTGGGTTGCGGGCACATCCCCAGTGGGAGATGTGCAGGAGGCAGCTGATCGATGTTTCTTTCTCTCTCATCGATGTTACTAACTCTCTATCTCTTTCTCCCTTCCTCTCTGTGGGGAATCAATAAAATATATTTTTTAAAAAAAGTATATAGATTAATAACTTTTGACACACACACACGCACGCGCTTTGAAACCATCACCCAATCAAGATAGTTGCATTGATTTTTTTAAAAATTAGATACTTCAAATACAATTGGATGCAAATTTTATTCTACTGAAAAGGTGTTTTGTGTGTTTTTTTCCACAAGCCAAACTGTATCCAACTTTATTAAAGATAGTTTTCATAAACAATCATGGTATTTCAGGCAGGACATGGGCACACAGTCCTTAACAGTATACAACAACTTTCAAACTCCCTTCTTCAGTGAACTACCAAAATCAGAAAGCCACTATAAAACCCAGTGAAGTCTTCATCGGATGCTCTGAACAGGAAAAGTTTAGAGTGAGGGCTGACATTTCCCATTAAGCATGTTGTTTAACAACTTTTCCCAAGCCGACCCTGACTTTCAGGAAATGAAATGACCTTGGCAGAGAATGTTAATCTGTAGTTCCACAATCTAAAAAGAAACCGCTGCTCTTTTGAGGGACTCCATCTCAGTGGTGACACTGGGAAGTCCAGATTGCCCAGCATACTGGAAATCTGTTTGGGTCGAGTCCCCATAGGTCTCTGGGCTTAAGAGAGCCAAAGTCTGTGTTTAAAGTGGAGAGGGAGAAAAGGACATAAAAACGAATTTTAGTTTTCCCACACAACAAGGTGTTCGTGCCAGTAGGGCTAATGCGTGTCAACATCAAGAGATCCCTCCTCCCAGGAAACAAGGGGAAGTTTCTCAAAACTAGAAGGGAAAGGTATTCCCCTCCATGTCAGTCCAACTTTGGAGACATTCTATTAGTACTATATGTCCTTCCCCCAAAAAATAACAATAAAGTGTTTTGTGTGCATAGCTTATATAGCTTTAAAAAAAAAGTAAAATAAAATTCTGCATTTTTATAAAACTTGATAAAAAATAGTATTTCAAACTGTACAGTTACCTGACTACACATTTATCAAAAATGCACACACTTCACCCTAGCCAGTTTGGCTCAATGGATAGAGCATCGGCCTGCGGACTGAAGGGTCCCAGGTTCGATTCCGGACAAGGGCATGTACCTTGGTTGCGGGCACATCCCCAGTAGGAGGTGTGCAGGAGGCAGCTGATCGATATTTCTCTCTCATTTCTCGCTTTCTATCCCTCTCCCTTCCTCTCTGTGAAAAATCAATAAAATATATTTTTTAAAAAATGCACACACTTCACTTGGCATCTCCAGCACTTTCAGCTTTCTGTGCCTGTCCTGGCATCTCCATTTTCTGCAGGGTTATTCCCATCTTTGTCAACATCAGCTTTCCCTTTACCCTTTCAGTACCTTCTCTCCCTTCTTTGCAGGGGCCTTTTTAGCCTTGGGCTCTGACTTTGGAGGAGCAGGTTTAGCTGATAACCTGGCAGATCTTCTCTGTGGTTCCTCCTTCACCTTGGCTTTATCTCCTTTAGCATCCCCTCCCGCCTTTCTCTTTGGCATAATGGCAATGGTGGTGGAACATCCGAGCGGGACGCAAGGATGTAGCAGCACGAAGGCTTTGCTCGGTCCGGGGGTTGATCTCACCTCCTCACACTGCTAGTACTCCAGGGGGTTTATAAAGTTATGATAGCGCTGAGAGCCCTGGACCGGTTCCTACTGAAAAGGTTTTGCAGAACAATTTCTACTAAAAGAAAGCCAACTGTAGAAATAACTAAAACACAATCCTGGAAAAAAATGAAAATGTCAATAGACATGATCTTCTGATAGCACAAAATCCCACAGTTGTTATTTCTACGGAAGTATTTTATTTTATTTTTTAAATTTTTATTCATTGATTTGAGAGAGAGGAAGAGGGAAATATCAATTTGTTGTCCCACTTATTTACGCATTCACTAAAGGCCCGGTCCATGAAATTCATGCCTGGGTAGGGTCCCTAGGCCTGGCCGGCGATCAGGGCTGATCGTGGCCTTCTGCCTGCCAGCTGGGGCCTTCCTTCATTCCGCACCACCCCCTCATGGTCAGCGCACATCATAGTGAGCAATCGAACTCCTGGTCTCCCAGTCGAACCCCCAAGGGGACACTTTGCATATTAGCCTTTTAAATATAGAGATTGGTTGCTTTTTACAAAAATATATGTTTTTATTGATTTGAGAGAGAGAGGGAGATAGAGGGCTAGAGAGAGAAACATCAATGTGAAAGTGAAACATTGATTGGCTGCCTCCTGCATGCCCCTTACAGGGGATTGAGCTTACAAATCGACCTCTGGATCAATGCTCAATCACTGAGCCACACTGGCAGGGCTGGTTGTTTCTTGTGTATCCTGACCTGGGATTGAACCCACAACCTTGGTGTATCAGGACAATGCTCTAACTGAGTTACCTAGCTAGGGCTAGGGAAATGTCCACAGACCAACACTCTACCCACTGAGCCAAACCGGTCAGGGCTTTTTCTTTTTTTTTTTTTAAATATATGTTTATTAATTTCAGAGAGAAAGTGAGAGGGGGAGAGAGATAGAAACATCAATGATGAGAGAGAATCGTTCATCGGCTGCCTCCTGCACATCCCCCTTTGGGGATCAAGCCCGAACCCAGGCATGTGCCCTTGACCAGAATCGAACCTGGGACCTTTCAGTCCGCAGGCTGATGCTCTATCACTGAACCAAACCAGCAAGGGCTTATTTTTCACCATGTTGCCTGTGACTACTCAGTGCTGGTAGATGATGAATTCATGATGGATTGTTGAAGTTACGGTGTTTCTGTAGTTTTTCCCAGGTCATGAGTCTCGAGCTACGGAAGCTTTGTGCTGGGCAAAAGGACAGCGACTCTTTAGTGCTGGACTCAACGGAGAGATTATCGAGTATGATTTGCAGGCCTTAAACATCAAGTATTCTATGGATGCCTTCGGAGGACCCATTTGGAGCATGGCTGCCAGCCCCAGTGGCTCTCAACTTTTGGTAAGTACGCAACTATTGGTAATTTAAACCAAGATTCCTCTTGTGCCCACTTAAAACTTCTTCCCTGTGTTCATAGGAAGGTAGATTAAAGTTATGTTACGCTATATAGCAATTCCAATATGAGTTAGATTTCAGCAACCCCAGTATAAGATGTGTTTCACCACAGTGTTTCACCACAGTGTTTCTGAAAATTGTTTGAGCACACTGAGAAGACTGCTCCCCCAATCATTAACTTTAGAATGGGTGCTTTCAGAGGTTGAACCTTTTGTGATAAGACCGCTGTTCTCTTCTGGTTTGCACTGATTTGTACAATATCTTGATAAGTCTCTGTTTAGATTATATAGTTATTAGGTCTTTCATTTAGTCCATGGGTCTCTAGCAGAGATGCCCTGTGAATTCCTACTTCTATTCTATTGTCCTGCTTTCTTGTCAGGACTTAAAGGCTACCAGGAATATGCAATCAGTTTCTTGGTGCCAGTACTTTTTTCTCTCACCAACTATTTTTCAGAGCAAGTGATTGCTTTAGGGAAGAAATGTATATATTTGTAAATAAATACGTTTAGTTAAAAATGTAAAATGTTTATCTTCTCTATTTTCTACCTCCTCTCCCCTAATAGGTTGGTTGTGAAGATGGATCTGTGAAACTATTTCAAATCAACCCAGACAAAATCCAGTTTGAAAGAAATTTTGATCGGCAGAAAAGTAAGGGTCATTTCTGGTGAGGCTGTGAATAGCCTTAGCAAGTAGTTATGTTTCTGTGCCACTAGGGGTGGGATATTTCCCCATGGGTCCAGGTAATATTTTAACTACTAGAGGACCGATTCACGAAATTTGTGCAAGAGTAGGCCTTCCTTCCCCCAGCGGCTGGCACCAGCTTCCCTCTGGCTGCCGGCAGGCACTTGGGACCTGGGCTTCCCTACCAGCCCCAGCTTCATCCAGAAGGTCATCTGGAAGTATGTCCAGTCTAATTAGCACATTACACTTTTATTATTATAGACTAGAGGCCCAGTGCATGAAATTCATGCACTTGGGGGGCGGGGGCGCGGGGAGGCGGGCTTTACCATGTTTGAGCTTTACCCTCTCATAGTTCAGGAGCCCTCAGTGGATATCCGGCTGTTAGACATCCTTAGCACTGCCGCAGAGGCAGGAGAGGCTCCCACCACCATCGCTGCGCTCGCCAGCCGCTGTGGGAGCGCACTGACCACCAGGGGGCAGCTCCTGCATTAGTATCTGCCACCTGGTGGTCAGAGCATGTCATAGGGAGCGGTTGAGCGGCCTTAGCATATCATTAGCAGATTAAGCTTTGATTGGTTGAACGGACAACCAGGCATCCGGACACTTAGCATATTAGGCTTTTATTATATAGGATATACTAACTCTATCTGAGTACAGGTTATGTACTAGAAGCCATCTCCAGCTCAGACTTTCTCCATTGTATAGCATAGTTGTGATTGCTTGGTTAAGTGAAAATATAGAAAACCAGAAATATAAAATAGAAAAGCCAGTGTTTCTCTATAAGTTGATTTGTTAATTCTCACTTAAATTTGTGATGTTTCAACAAGTGTGCATAAAGTCCAGAAACCAGAATTTCATCTTTAGGAGTTGTGGTTCTTTTTTTATTGCTATTAATCCTCACCCGAGGTATTTTTCCATTGATTTTTTTTTTTTAGAGAGAGTGGAAGGGAGGGGCAAAGACAGAGAGAAACATCGATGTGAGAGAGACACATCGATTGGTTGCCTCCTGTGCCCTGACCAGGGCCAGGGATCAAGCTTGCAACTGAGGTACGTATCCTTTTTTTTTTTCTTTCTGAGGTACGTACCCTTTACTGGAATTGAACCTGGGACCCTTCAGTCTGAAGGCCAACGCTCTACCCTCTGAACCAAACAGGCTAGGGCAGAGCTGTGGTTCATAATCCTGCTGTGCATTCACATTGAACAGGGGAGTTCTATAAATAATTGCCCATGTTTAAGCTTTACCTGGACCAATTGATCCTGACCTGTAAAGTAGGGGGTGGCAGACTGTTTTTGTAACGATACAAAGTAGTAAATATTTTAGGCTTTGTAGGTCAAACCATCTCTGCCAACTCTGTTGTGGCAAAAAATAGCCATAGATAATACTTAAATGGGCATGGCCATGCTCCGTTAAACTTTACTTTCAAAAAAAGGTGGCGGGCCTCATTTGGCCTTAAGGACATGGTTTGCTTACTCCCCTTCTAGCAAATAGTCACTGTCCAATGTGTTCTTTGTATTCATTAGTAATATTTATTCTCTGCTACTCAGATTCATATTTGGTTGTTTTTAATACCTTTGGGGTGTTCTTTTTAAATTACAAAGGTGATCCAGTGCTTTTTAAAAATTTCATATGTTTAGCCAAGTATGAAAGAGAAAATAAGTATCTCATGCCCCTATATAGACAACATTTTGAGATTAATCTTCTAGACTTTTTAAAATATTCATATAAATAAATACATAGGGGTGCCTGAACCTGTTTTCAGCTTTGTTTTCTCTTGTTACATCACAGGCATCTGTCAGTCATGCCAGTCTGTATGGCATTGCATTTTATGTTCCATAATTTATTTAGTCAAACTCCAACTGATGGATAGTAATTATTTTTTTACTACTACGATCAGTGGTGCAGTGAATATTTTTATATACATGTTTTGGGGCATTCATGCAAGTATTTCTCTTTGATTAATTTCCCGTGCAATTACTGGGCCAAACATGCACATTTACGTTTTGTTAGGCTACTACCAGATCACCCTCAAGAGGCTGTGCTTCTTTACACTCCCATCAACCATTTATACATTATTAAAGTTAGTATCAAATACTTCATTATGGATCCCAGGGCAAAGTTGTTCCTCATCTGTTATAAACCATTTCTTCACAAGAGTGCAGTACGTAGTGGGAGCTAAGACTAGAGAACACTAGCCCCGTAGATAATTGTGGAGGGAGAACTCAGTTACCTTTTGCTGTATATTTATGTGTTTGTCACTTTCTTTTTTTATTGTTCCAACTCCCAAGGTCGCATCCTGAGTCTCAGCTGGCATCCCTCTGGTACCCACATTGCAGCTGGCTCCATAGACTGCATTAGTGTGTTTGATGTCAAATCAGGTGACTGTTTTTCTCAATTCATTTGGGATGTGGGTCTTGTCAGATTCACATTTCTGACAAACTGGAGTTCTTGTTATGCTTTCAATGATGTTTAGCCCTAACTTTCTTAATCTTCTGGGATGTTCACCATGAATTTCAGTCCTTTCTTGGAATACTCATCCTGCTTTGGGAAGAACCTTGGTTTTTCTATGGGATGCAGTATTTTATTTATTTTAGAGAAAAAGGAAGGGAGAAGGGGAGAGAGAGAGAAAACATCAGTCAACAGCCTCCTGCACACCCGCTACAGGGACTGAGCCCAAACCCTAGGCATGTGCCCTGACTGAGAATCAACCAGGGACCTCTCAGAGCATGGGACAACACTCTACCATTTCAGCCACACTGGCCAGAGAGGGATGCAGAGTGTGTGTGTGTGTGTGTGTGTGTGTATTTGCTGGAGCCAACTTCCCCAGCCGGCCACACCTGGGGCGGTGGTCCCTCCCCAGCCGGCCACACCTGGGGCGGTGCCAAGGCTTGAAGGGCATCTGCGGAGTGAGCGTGGTCCCTCCAGCAGGTGGGGTTCCTCGGCCTGGCCTGCAGGAATTGTGCGGAAACTGCAGTCTGACATGCCCCAAGGGGTCCCAGAGTGCAAGAGGGCACTCTACAAAGTTGCTGTCGCTCGGCAGCTCCTGCGTTGAGCGTCTGCCCCATTGTGGTCAGTGCACATCATAGCTACCGGCTGGTCAGCCAATCGGCCAGTTGCTTAGCCTTTTATATATAGAGATATATAGACTAGGGGCCAGTGCACAGATTTGTGCACATTGAACTGTGGGCCGCGAGGCTACAGTGGGCACAGGAGCGGGTCTCAGCCCATCCTCCGCGCCCCCGCCACGGCCCAGTCTGCCTGCAGCCCTGCTCCTGCTGCTGCCGCTCCCATGTGCTGATGGCACCGGCTCCGCTAGCACCTGCTGACGGTGTGGAGCTATTGGGGCCCGCGCCATCAGCAGGTGTAAGCGGTGGCTGCTGTCCCAATCACCACTCAGGAGGAGGTGGAGAAGCCCTCAGGGGTGATGGGGGCCAGCTGGTGTGAGCAGTGGCTCCGGTGCTGGCAGCAGGTGCGAGTGCCGGACGGGACCGCGGCTCATAGGAGCAAAGAATTTTCAGTAACCACCAGAGGCCCACCCCCATGTCAGTGACCATGCCCCGCCTTGGTCTAGTGCCCCCGCTCACCTGCTCCACTATCCTGCTGCTGCTGCCCGCCATGTTCTGTGTGTGCCCCCTGGTGGTCAGTGCATGTCATAGCGACCGGTTATTTGGTGGTTCTGCCATTCGGTCTATTTGCATAGTAGGGTTTTATATTCCATATAGTATTCCCACCCTCAATTGTGCCTATGTCCCTCTTCAGAGAATAGGTCTCTAGTCTTTCGTTGAGGTGAGGTTTTATGGCATTGCCTGGATTTTTACTTAGGGGAAGGAATCTGAGGGATCTACAAGTTTCTTAAACTTACTTTTATTCCGTTCCTCCTTTTAGTCCCACTTTCTTCCTCTGTTTCTAGAGTATCTGGGGTCACCAGCTCCTGACTTTTCTGAGGATCCTAGGGTGAAGTCAGGTGACTTCTTGGCTTTCCCCACTGCTGACTTGGTATTTAGTTTCAGGGCTCTGCTAAGCCAGTTACCACTCTACACATTCTCATAAATTGTCACTGTCTCTTTCCCAGGGGGTTTTGGAAAAGAGCAAAGTGTATTGGTTTCTGTGCAATTAGCTAGTTTTAAGTGAAGTTTCTTTTCCATTTCACCCCCACCCCTCCAGCAAATTTCTGTTCCTTCCCTGTCGCCACCCCCCTCTCTCATCTTTAGGCAACCATTTTGGTGTTGAGAGACTGAGTTCACCATAAGTAGTATATATTGGATGTGGTCTGTGCTCGGGTAGCTAACCTAACATGTTTACCACATCATTCAAATGTGGACTTTTCTTATTTTTCAGGGAGCGCTATTCATAAGATGCACGTGGATAGGCAGTATATGGGTGTGTCTAAGCGGAAGTGTATCATATGGGGTGTGGCCTTCTTGTCCGATGGCACTGTCATCAGTGTGGACTCTGCTGGGAAGGTGCAGTTCTGGGACTCAGCTACTGGGACGCTTGTGAAGACCCATCTTGTTGCAAACGCTGACGTGCAGTCCATTGCTGTCTCTGATGTGAGTATGGCTCCTGTGTTGAGCAGTTCCTGTACAGTCTGGGGGACGATAGAGAAGGCCCTGGCAGTGTTGCACCACAAACAACGTTCCCTGGCCCTGGAGGAAGATGATTTTAGGAAAATCCATCTGAAAAGCCACATAATTTCCCTGAACTCTCTTATTCTCTTAGCAATCAGCTGGAGAATATTCTCTGAAGGATTGGTTAGCAGAGAGTTTTTCTTCAGGCACTCCCCACCCCTAGTTAATCAGGTCTGATTGAAGACAGGGCACAGTGTGCTCAAAGAATCTTGAGAAGCAGTGTTTCCCCTCTTCGTACAACTGTTCTCCTGCTTCCTACCTTGGGAAATTAGAAGATAGTTTTATAGTGATTTTTGACAATGTTCATTGTCTTCTATTTGAATAAGACTTAAGCAGATTTGTATTGAACAGGTGTGCCTTTTTCATGTTGGTAACCAGAGTGCTTAATCAGAAATGTTTGGGTATGTTAGCAGTGAGGTATAGAAGTAGCTTTGAGGTTTGTTACTACGTCCTTTATTTTTTTGCCTTCTTAATTTGAGAATTGCTATCTTAAGGGTGAAAATCCAGTTTCTAGTGTAGAGATCACACATGTTTACTTTCCTTGCCTATAAAATGTTTCTGTCCCATTTCACAGTTTTCCATGAGAACAATTTTGTGTGTATTAAAGCCCTGTAAAACATGTAGATGTCACCTATAAACTATAATCCTATATAATAAAGAGGGAATATGCAAATTGACTGTCACTCCGCCACAAAGATAGCACCCACAGGGGAGGCCAAGTTCCCATAACGAGCCTTACTGAGCAATCAGCAGGGACCTGAGGCTGCGCCCTCCCCGCCCCCGTGGGGCTTGACAGGGGACCTCAGGCCATGCCCCCCACCCTGGTGCCAGGCCTGGAGACCACAGGCTGTGCCCCCCTACCCGGCAGGGCTTGACAGAGGACTTCAGGCCATGCTCCCTGCCCAGCGGGGCTTGATGGGGGACCTCAGGCTGCACCTCCCACACTGGTGCCAGGCTGCTTCCCTCGCCCCAGGCCAGGGGACCTCAGGTCGTGCCTCCTACCCAGCAGGGCTTGATAGGGGACCTGAGGCTGCAACCCCCTCCCGATGGGGTTTGATGGGGGACCTCAAGGCACGCCCCCTGCCCTGGCCCGAGCTAGGGGACCTCAGGCTACGCCCACCACCCCAGCGCCGGGCCAGCGGACCTGAGGCTGCGCCCCCCCCTTCCCAGCGGGGCTTGACAAGGTGAGACCGACCGGGTCTGGATCTAGCCCAGTGGGGGGGTGGGCAGCCAGGTCTGGGTCTCGCATGATTTTGAGTTGCACGTGGATAGGCAGGGACTTGACTCAGGGTCCCGTGGTGTGCCCCAGACTTTGACAGAAGGAAGATTTTCGTATACTTTTTACTAATTTTCTCCCATCTCTGACACTTCTATTATAGAGAAAGGGCAAATAGCAATATTAAAATATTTTCTCTAATTAATCCCCTTTTAATGTGCATGAATTTCATGCACCGGGCCACTAGTAGAAGTAGAAGTTGAGCCCTAGCTGGTTTGGCTCAGTGAATAGAACATCGGACTGAGGATTGAACTGTTGGTTCTCGGATAGATTTCCGTTAAGGGCATATGCCTGGGTTGTGGGCTCAGTTCCCAGTAGGGGGTTTGCAGAAGGCAACTGATCAATGATTCTCTCTCATCATTGATGTTTTTCTCTCTCTCCCTCTCCCTTTCTCTCTGAAATCAATAAAAATATTTTAAAAAATCTCCAAAGAGCTAAA